CTTACAGTTTGTGACATACTAGCGGTAGGGGAAGCAGCTTCCCAGCAGGAGCCCCATACATGACAGACTGTGGACAGACACTAGCCGTTAGCATTAATTTGATTTTCACTTGTCCAATTAACCTCTCTATCCAATGAAATAAAATAAATGAGAAGGGCCACTAGTAATTCATCATGCCATAAGAGATTCAAATAGATGGGTAAGTAAGCCCAGTTAAGTATCTTATTTAGAAATGAAGGGATTAGAATGATTTGTAACATTACAGTACTCTGTCTTTATTATTTGATCATTCAATATCTTCTGCTTCAGAATCCTAAATCCCAGGAGCCTGTTACGCTGGATTTTCTAGATGCGGAATTGGAAAATGATATTAAAGTTGAGGTGAGATTACCTGGTTTCTTAGTACCTATTGCTTCCTGTATTTCACTGTATAATAACTGAAAAACAATAAATGTTCTAGATTTTGAATGGGAATCTATTTCACTAGAAATTTCAATTTTAAATTTGTCAAGATGATGACTTTATAGACAGATGAAGTTATAATGAAACAAACTGAAACTGGTATTATTCATAGGCAAGGGCAATGCATTATATTCCTCTAATTTTGGAAGACACCACGATGGCTATTTAAATAATTCTTCTTCATTAAGTGGCATCTCCTGATGAAGGGGCTTGTAAATTTTTCAGAACGGAGTACTTTTTAATAGGATACTATTATATTACCTGAAAGATTTAAAAAGTGTTTTCCTGTCTCTTATAATGCAAGCTTATTGCTGTGGTGAGAGAGAGAACTGAGAAATAAAATTAAATGTTGACAACAAATTAAATATTTTTTAGTTACTAATTCTGTAATGCATTCAGAAATCAGAATTTTTAAAAATGGTTTGTTTTGTGAAATAAAATGGAGGTTTTTAAAACATTGTACATTTTTTAAACATATTTTTTAACTTTGTTTGAAATTGTTGATTCATAATGATACTATTGGTATCTGTCAAATTCCACCTTAACTTTCTTTGAAACTCCTGCTTCAGAGAGAAATTGCTCTCAGACTGGTATAAAAATGTTTTTGTGAATCACTACTGCTATCAGAATCACACAGATGTGCTGGGAAGCACGAGAAATGCTAGACAAAACTCCTCGTCCACCGAGAATCCATACTCTCTCTAGTGCCCATCATCAAGGGGTCTTGCTATGCAAAGTATACGGGAATTGCTGCTTCATAACTCTAATGACTGAGTATATATTTGGATAAAGACAATTCTAATTATAAAAACCTGAAAATTGTAAACTTAACTTTATTTTTTAAAGAGCTATGACTTTCATGTGCATTACCATTTTCTGTGTTTGTATGAAGTACTTTGAAGCACTGAAAAGATTACTCATGTTACATGCAATACCTAGTTCTTTTTTTTTTTTTTTCTTTTTTCTTTCTTGCCAAAAGATTCGGAAAAAAATGATAGATGGAGAAAGTGGAGAAAAAACATTTGAAACACTGGTCAAGTCCCAAGATGAGGTAAGATAGGAACACAGGCAATTACACTTACAGGAACAAACAAAACCAGAAAAATACTGTGAAATGGTGAAAAAACGTTCATTTTGTAATGTCAGTTTGTATCATTTTTCCCTCTAGATTTGCTAGTTTTACTGGCTTATAGTAAAAGAAATTATGTACTTATGAAAAGAAGAATTGTTTTGTTTCTTGGTTTCTTTGGTGCACCATTAATCAGGCAGTTGTTGATGAGGTCTTACACTCTGTTCACCAGGAAATGGACTCAGCCTACTTCTGTGTATGAATCCCAAAACAAAGTACTTAATTTGCTTACAGAGATGTGTGAGCTTGGGTTTGGTAGTTTATATTGTGGTTGAATGGGAAGAAAGTGGTGAGAAAAAAATATAACTTTTATATGCTGTAAGTGAAGACTGTTTGGGATAAGCAAATCCATCTTACAGATATATTACTTACTTATGCTTTCTGAATAGCTTGTTGAGTTCTTTATTATCATGTCCAAAATGCTCATTTCTGATAAAGATTGCTACTGGTTTCTCTAATAAGACATACATGAGGAAATACTCAAATTTTATACGGATCCTTACATGTACACTCTACTTCTTGGGGACCTTAATGAGAAGAAATCATGACTGGTGTGCCAAAGGAGCAGTTCTGGCCAGAGTATGCTCCACAGTTACAGTTCTACAACAGCTTTTTGAAACTGTTTTACTCTGAATGTAAATCAGCTTGAAGACAGCTAATCTAATGACTTTGCAGAAGAACGAGAAGCAAGTACAACATCAAGCAGACACTACACAACCCTTACATATGTAAGCACACCATAGCAATGCTCAGAACAGTTGCTTGGGAATGTGTAGTTAATTTTTCATGTGTATTAGCTGCCCTCTCCTCTTGATCTCCTGTAACTTTGCTATCTCCAATGGCTCTGCTGTTTGTACTTAAATGGCAGAATGTTCCAATGAAAAGTTCCTCCTTCTCACAAGGCATATGCTACAGAAGCTAATCAAGTTAAATTGATAGGAAATTAGGCCTCAGAGTTAGAGGGGTGAGGGAGGCTGTTATTCTGTTAAAAGCAGCACTTCCCTTACTTGTATTCCATTCAATGTCTAATAGATGGTAGCAACTTTTAAACTCTGCTTTGAATTTTGTCCAGATTACACCAAGTGATGCCCAATACTGAGCAGTTCCTATTACCAGTCCTCTGACTCAATTCTTCATTGAGGGAAGATTTTTATGTACTTATTATCATTTTGATACAGAAAAAAATATTTCGTAGTCCTAGTCTATTTTTTCATTAAACATGGTAAAAACTTACTTGTCTTTGTCGGTGAAAATCAGTGGCAATGCATATGTTGTCTTTCCTAGATGAAGCTGAAAAGAGAGCTGAATTTTATGAAACATGTCTTGATCATGTATTCATACTGTGATTTCACAACGTCAAGTTCATGGTCAGTTGGTTCCACAACAGACATTTGAGAACATACTTAGAATCATAGGATCACAGAATAGTTTGGGTTGGAAGGGATCTTTAATGGTCATCTAGTCCACCCCCCCCTGCAGTGAGCAGAGACATCTTTAACTAGATCAGGTTGCTCAGAGCCCCATACAACCTGACCTGGAATGTTTCCAGGGATGGGGCATCTACCACCTCTTCGGGCAACATGTTCCAGTGCCTCACCACACTCACTGTAAAAAATCTCTTCCTTATACCTAGTCTAAATCTACCCTCTTTTAGTTTAAAACTGTTGCCCCTTGTCCTGTCATTACAGGCCCTACTAAAAAGCCTGTTCCCTTCTTTCTTATAACATTTGCACTTACAAATGCTGGAGTCAGCTACAGCATCAAGGCAGTGGGCAGGGTGGAATGGGACATCCCTTAGCGCATGAGGATGTGTCTGTTATGTGCGGCCCAGACCACAATTTGTATTTGAATAGAATATCCCAAGCCTTTTGGTCTCAGATGCTTCAAGTGCCCAATGAAATTGATTTCCCTCACCTTCCCTTGCATCATGGCCCAAGGTTTCTTCCTCCACTTGGACCTCTCTGAGAGAAGAAGGGAGCAGCCAGAGATTGTTGGCAATGGTGACTGCTTCAAGCCATTGCACCCTCCCGCTGCTTCAGACCACGGGCTACGCATAAGCCATGCATCACTTAGGACTTCATAGCTTCATATATTTTCTTATAAAAGGCTGATGTGGTCAGTTGCTCTGAACTGACATTTGCAGTCTTGAGGCTTAAAACTGTTGTCCTTTTTGTTTTGTTTTTTGGTTTAAGTTTGCGTTGCTTTCCTTTTGTATTGCAGCTGGCCCCAGAAGTGTCTTGGGAGATGACCTCATACTATAGCATAGAGACTGGACTCGTAGCAAGTGTGGGTGGGGTGTGCTGGAGTCTCCCAAGGCCTCAGGGGCTTTCCAACTCACAGAGAAGATGCCATAGGAACAAAAGCATTGCCACATTCCGCAGCTGGGGTGGGCAGCAGTGAAAACTGAAGGGTCACAAAAACGTCAGTAACTTGTGTAAGTTCTTTGCTAGTGACCAGCTGGGGTGAGATGGTCTCAGACCACTCAGTAATGAAGTAGGCAAAGGTAAATGGGAGCAGATGTATAAGGACTTGTGATCTCGGTTTAAGTTTGCGTTGCTTTCCTTTTGTATTGCAGCTGGCCCCAGAAGTGTCTTGGGAGATGACCTCATACTATAGCATAGAGACTGGACTCGTAGCAAGTGTGGGTGGGGTGTGCTGGAGTCTCCCAAGGCCTCAGGGGCTTTCCAACTCACAGAGAAGATGCCATAGGAACAAAAGCATTGCCACATTCCGCAGCTGGGGTGGGCAGCAGTGAAAACTGAAGGGTCACAAAAACGTCAGTAACTTGTGTCGGTTCTTTGCTAGTGACCAGCTGGGGTGAGATGGTCTCAGACCACTCAGTAATGAAGTAGGCAAAGGTAAATGGGAGCAGATGTATAAGGACTTGTGATCTCCTGGATTATCTCGAAAGCGAGATTTCAGCCACTTTGCTTTCAAGCATGTTCACAGTGCTGGTGGCAACAGGATTTAATATGAGCCCAGTTCTTCTCTTCCTTCCCCCCCACCTTGGTCACTACTTCCTCTTGCCTATGTACATGGTGTGCTACCCATGGCACTGTGCTCGATTTGGAGTGGCTTCCAGCCCTAGGTTCAAGTGTCTAGTCATTCCTGAGCTGAGGTAATAATATAGGCACATTATTAAATATAAAGAGGCTTGGATAGGAATCTCTTCAGCTATTTTTTACCTTAAATATAAAATATGTCAGGGCGTTAGATGCTGATATATGCATCTGTTTTTCTTTTTTCTTTTTTCCTTTTTTTCTTTCTACTTTTTCTTTTTGTTTTCTTTTTCTTTCCAAAATGGCTATTAAATTATTTACACTGTCATGCTTTGTTGAAAATCAGCAGCCAGGTAATGAGAAGGTTTCAAATCATAAATGTCAAAAAAGACACCTCTTTTCCATAACCATGGTCATTTTCACATTTTTGTTTTACCACAGGGAAAGAAAGAACGTAGACATATACCTGTGGTATCTTTCACTGATGTTTGTAATCTTGCAGTGCAACAGCTGCACAGACTTCATTGCTGGCATGTGTACAAATGTCTGATTGTCAAATAATAATATGTTGCAGCTGGCATAAACTTGTAGTTTTCAAAGTGGAAAATCAAGTAAAACAATGTCAGCCAGGTGCATTAATGATTAAATCTATGGGAACTGGGAGACTGTGTCTATCACGTCATTTTTCATACCAAAAGACAATGAATGGTAAAGCTTATCCTAATGTATTAAGTTATTTTAAAATAAACACTTACTTCCATGTTAAATTTTTCACAAATTCAAAAGCCTCCTAAAGAGATGAGAAACACATGTAAGTTTAGCATGGGTTGCCTATACAATCAGGACTACCTGGTTGTGCCTATAGATATGACTTAAATGCATTTAGCCAGTGGTGCTGTGACCTGAAAGGACAGGCACTGCATGTTTTCATTGTTAAAGGGTTACCTACAAAGTCTTTTTATAATTGAGGTTTTTTTGGCTTTCACAGTTTAACTCCTTAAAGGAGATAACATCTTCTATCAAATTTAAATTACATAGAAAAAAGGTTTTCCTAGGCCTTAATAATGAATTTAAAAGGGAAAATGATAGGTCATGTTTGTCTGGTTTTAGTTAAATTTGCATTTCACTGATGTTCAATAAAAATGAACTAGGTGATTCTTTTGCATAATACGAGTTTGGAAAATATTTAAGAAAAGAAGTTGCAGCTCAACTCATGCTTTTAGCAAAATAATAAATAGAATTCCAACAGATTTGTACTTCATTTTACACTGTATTTCTCAAGAAAATGTCATGCTTATTGAAGCTTCAGATTTAATAATTTATTTTTTCACCAATATCTCTTTGTAGAGATATATTGATAAAGGAAACAGAACATATACGTGGACTGCTGTGAATGGCACTGATTACAGGTAACTCATTTCTGTTCTCTGAATTATTTTGTGTAGATAAAAGTCCTTTTTGTTTATTTTGGTTAACATTTTAGTGTTAATTTTCTATACTAGCTAAGTCAGGACCAGATTGGTTTGTGTCCAGGCCTGCAGGATTTGGTGGGTTCCTTTACTTCTCAGAACTGTTGCTCAGTCTAAGGACTGGAACCTCAGTCTTTCATCCAACTGTTCAGATTTCTCACTAGGATATTTCAGTATGCAGTAAAAAAAGGGTTTTTATGATTGATGTTAAGAATCTTACTTTTTTTCCTACTTTTTGTATCACACCATACTTTGATTCTTAGTTGTACATTTTCTTCTAGATTCCTCCTCTTATTTCATCTTTTCTTTGCATTGTCTCCATGTTCTTGTTTTAATATGCATATTAAAAAGGAAGATGTTATATTTTCGTCTAAATAAAAAATGTGACATGTTTTGTGCAAATCTTTTTCAGTCACAGTCATTGCTTACATCATGACTTTGCTAGTCTTCTTGTCAGCTCCTAGGGGCAGGAACCACACTACTGATTATCTCCAAGTTCCTATCTATTTGTGACAGGCTTTAATTAATTAGCACGGGTACTGCTTTGTATATGAAGTAATGGGTAAAAGCACATCCCCCGCCTTGAATGCAACCTTGGCATGTATATTATTTCAAACTCATTTAAGCATGTAGGTCTCTTAACATTAGAAGGAATGTAGGAACTTGACATTGTCCAAAATAAGTTTACCAAATTCCAGAAAAGTGAAACTACTGTAGTTCAAAACTAGGTGGTACAAATATTGAATCAATTTTTTGCCAAAACAATATTTTTTTGTGGTGAATTACAGTAGCCCTCAGCCAAGCTGGTTCCCATTTTTTGTTGTGTTCTGCACAGGTAAAAAGCCAAGGAGAATTCAAACGTCAATTTCTATGTAAAACTAAACAAATCAGTTTTAACAAGAGATTACAAATGTGTGCCTTTATCTTTTATTCAGCATGCCATTTTTCTAACTTCATACTCTGTAAAAAAAATAATTTTTTTTATCAGACTATGCCATCTAGCAATCAGTAAAGAAATACATTTGATTTATATGACTTCTTAATTCTCCCTGAGCTCCCTGGCATGAGATACACCAATAAATCCATGGAGTCATATTGCAGAAAACCTATTAAACATAAAATTATAGATTTTAATTAGCAATTTCTGGTAGCAGTAACTGTTAATGACAGGTAAACTGCTACTGATTTCCCTAGAGAAGAATTGGTAGAAGGCTATCACTAAATATTCAGCAATCTCACTTACATTCTGTTTAAATGGCAAATGTATCATTAAAGGTCATCTCATTTATGGCTCAATTGCACAACTTTTTTAATGTTAATTTCTGCAGCTATCCATTAGAAACGATTGCAGTTCTACAGTCATGAAATCTGAGTGCAAATATTAAGGATGCAATGTGGGAGATGATGATACCTCTTTAATGACCACTCATACCTCCTGTCCTTTTCATACCTTTTTAAAACTGAACTCTTCTATACATGTATTGAATTTAGTTGCAAAAAGAAGGCCTATTTTGGACAAAAATAAGTATAATTTAAAAGAAAATATGTGGCATATGCTTTGCAAACCTTAAAATGTTCTTACACAATGATATTCAAAGGTTTTTAGTGGTGACTGCATGATTCAAGAAAATATTTTGTGTCTTGAACATATGTGAATTCAAGTATAGCCAGATACATGTCCTAATGAATACTGGTAGTTGTTTTATTAGTAAAAGGAGAATCTGTTACTATATGATGCATGCAAATCAGTGGAGTACTACATGCTGGTTTTTGCGGTCAATAACCACTTTGACGTGTTACACTGGGATGCTAAATGTGTTAGAGGGAGATACAAGAAATCATGTGTTTTTTTATTTGCAATTATTTGGAAATTCCTGGCTTATCTGTTACAGAAGTGCATTTATGCTTAAAAGTGCAAGTAAGAATGAAAATAAACACAGGGAAGTTCAGGACTGGCATGAACCTACTTGTGTCTGTGACAAAGTGTGAGGCTGGCGTGTCTCTATATGGCTATCTCGCCTCATGATGATCCAAATTCCAAACTTGTTAATTGCTTTCAGAACACCTAGAAGCTGAAACCAGAAAACTGCTGCAAATAACTTAATTGCTTTGCTTGTCTCATTTCTATTGCAGTTTGGCATTGGTATTACCATCATACAGCTTTTATTATATTAAAGCCAAAATAGAAGAACCAATAACTCAAGCCAGATGTAAGTACAATGAAGGTTCCCTGGTTTTGTCTAGTATTGCCAAGTCTCAGATTCACTTAACAAAGTTGTGTTTAAAATTCATAAATTTTGTGGAATTCACTGCTGTTATCATGTGTACCCAAAATCTACAGCAATGATTCTAACCCGTTGTAACATCCAAGGTACAAGAAATATTCTATAAAGATAGAATATGTGCAGGTACCCCAGTTCCACTGACGATCCCTTCCCCCTTGCTCTGTGCCTATGGAATCATTGCTTTGTGTATCCTCTGTTGCTGTCATTTTAAGGGTCTGGATACTAATTTTTTCATTCTATTACCTAAATATCGTTGAATGGGTTATAGTAGTAAAGTGGGATTTTGTTATTTTTGCAGTAGTTACAGTATCATATTTAGAAAATTACCCCTACAGCCTGTAGAAATAGATCAATGTGAAAGTGCTGTTTAGTTTGGCTTGCAGATAGGTTTTTATTTTGCACTTTACAAATAGTTTTAGTGGATGCTTGTAATGTATTTTTGAATTAGACTAATTTCAAGCCATTTACAGATTCTGGAGAGGTAATTGGAAATTATACTTGTGAGTATTCAAAAGCTTTTTGTTTATTAGGTGTAGCTTAACTTGAATCTAGATAGTAGACAAAATAGAACCCATCACATCCTTTTAACTTTATCCAAGTGTTAACAATAAACTTGAACAAATGTGCAGTTAAATAGAAAGTTAGAAAAGCACTATGAATCTCTCTGCCAGGCACAGATACTATTAGTTTAGAGGAAACTTGATGAGTGTTAAATCACTGTCTTCTCCCATCACCTCCTACCTATCAAGTGGAATATGTCAAAGTTTTAAAAATCAGTGATTTATGCTGTAACTTTGTCAAATAACAAGTAGCTTAAAATTAAAGTTTTAGTGAGCGAATATGTTTCTCTTGATGGATCAGATCGTCTGGTTCTGCACTTACATCAATATAACCTGCAAAACAGACCCTTGAAATAGCCACAGTATATAGAAGGTACTTGAGAAATAATTGAGAAGGACATATTCTTCAGTCTTCAAAGATGTTTGTCTTTTTGCCAGACTACAGCTGTATGTAAATTGAACCTTTGATCTATCTATGCACAATATTTTTATTCAAGGGGCTGTTTGAATAAAATATTGGTTTGTGTCCCCTTTTGCTTTACCCTGTTTTTTTCTGTTTCCCTGCTTTCTCTTTCTGATGGATAGTGGCAATCAAAAAGGGCAAGTATATTCTTGTTGCTCTATTTCCTTCTGTTTACTGCAGTTGATATTTTTCACTTATATTTCTATTCCTACTGGATATTCTCCTCTGTATTCCTCATCTCAGGACTTTTCCCATGTTCATTTGGTACCAAAGCAATAGAAAGGAAAAAAAAAAAAAAAAGACGTGAAGTGTTTTTTCCATTTCCATGCACATTTCAATATGTTGCTAATCTCTAATCCTTCTTTGTCTGGTCCTATTAGTTTTCAGTGACACCAGCTATTAAGGCCATTATTTTCAGTAGCATTTAAAGTGATGCTTATATGGATGAGTTTTTAAACTTTATTGCAGAAAATACTAGAAACATTTTCCTTCATGTTCTAACAACTCAGTGTCCCAAATATTTCTTTGTATCAGATTGTAATTCTAATGAAAACATCTGATATGTTTTCATGTTGTCACGCTAATGAAATGTCTTCTCTAAGTTGTTAAATACAGTATTGTTGCCAGGTGTATGTTGTATATAATAATGAAGTAATTTCTATACTGTGAAATACTGAGAAGTATACAATATATTAGTAGGAAAGTGTCTCAAAATAAACATTTATTTCTAAATTCATAGATGCATGCAAAACCTAGATGAATATTTTGAGTAGAAAAATGATGGCAAACCCCCCACTTTACTTACTTGGTGTTTACTCTTCGTCTTTGTAGATTCAGAAACACTGAAGCTTGATAATTTTGATGAAGCTGGCTATACGTTTATAGCACCAAGGTTGGTTAATTTCCCAGTAATAACTATTATTTCAGCAGTAAATAGGCATTTGATCAGATTAATGACATTTACAAAACATAAACTTGACCAATAAAGTTCATTTTGGTAAAAAATAATAAGTAACAGTTTGAAATTTCATGTTTTACAAGATCAGTCTTCTCTTGCTGGAGTGTAAATAGCATCTTCAGGCTCTGATTCCTCTTTATATTAATCAGAGAGCTGTAAAATCTGACATGTCATCATTTATTGATGTTTTTAATGGAAATCTTATACACATCTATTCATTTCTTGTAGCTGTGACTTTTAGGATTTTACAACTTTGTACCTTAGCTTCTCATTGGTAAAATAGGTACTATAATACTTACCCTGAGATGTTTTCCAGCTCCAAGATAAAGTGTTTCAAAGCTCTCTATCACTTAAGGATGAATTAATTTTTGATTCATTGAACAAAAAACTAATGATTGAGTCATTGAAAATTGGTCGAGTAAGTTGATTAGTTCCATTTTTTCATGTGAAACTGTAGTCCTTTTTGCCCTTGAAAATACATGTTTGCAAGGGAAACATGGTATGATAAATAGTTCTTAAAAATTAAGTTCTTTAAAAGGTAGTTATGATAAATAAAGGAAATGCTGTACCATCAAGATCAGTTAGGAATTGTTCCATTTTTTTATTTATCTTATAAAATCCTTTTAAATTTAGACTGGTTTAGATAGATTGGTATGTAAAAAATAGTCTTCTATCTTCAAATGTGTTCTCGAATGTTTAATTTCTTTTTTCTGAAAGACTGAATTTACTGATAATCAACTGTACCAATTAGCAGTTTCCAGCAAGTCCCTAGCTGTTAGGCTGACCTACAGGAACAAAGCCTGCTTGATATGGACCTCTGCTTAAATGTGAATATTGGTATAGTAAGGCAAATTCTGCCTGTAGTCTTTCAGGATCATGGTAAAGTAAGTAAAGGGTAATAAGATAGCCTATTCATATGAAATACTTGAACAAACTTCTTTTGTTCATAAAATTAATTTGATATAAAACGCTCATTTAAAAAGAGAGCTTCCTGCTTTACTGCTGAATACTCTCTACATTTTAATTAAAGTTGTTTTATGCCACTCACCATCTAATATTTGCCTTCAAAATGCCCAGTGACTTTTACTGTGCTTGCTTGTATTCAGTGAATTGTCCAATGGTATATCACTTTATTTTATTACGTTATGTAAAGGACAGTAGTTTACTGTGTATCTGTTTTGCATACGTCAAAACAAAGAGTGTTTATATGCTTATGTGCTGTGTACCCTATTAAAATTGCCTTTAGGACTTCTCAGAGGACAGAACCTTATCCCGTAAACCTGGCCTTAGTTAAGCATGAAGTGACTATGTTTTAAACAGCAGTCCATGTACTTTCTAGTGCAGTTTAACCCAAGAGCAGTCTAAATTCACTGAGCATTTTCTTGCTTGGTTTACAGACTATGATCTCCTGATTTCATGGCCTACAGTAGTCCTGAGTGCTTTTTCTGGGAGCCTATGCCCTATCTCATACATGGAGTTTCCTTATAATTCAGATTTAGGCAGGAACTTGAACACTTTATTTCCTGTAGATGCCTGAAATATTCAATATGGTCAACGTTCAATATTGATCATGGTAGTCAGTTGACGCAGTAGTGCCAGCCACCTCACTGTAGTTGCACAGTCCTGCTTGGACTTTAAAATTGCTGAGCCCTATTTGTCTGATTTAGTATCAAAGGAAACAAATCTGAAAAGACTGATGATTTGTTGTTTTTCAGAGAGTACTGTACTGATGTAAAGAAGTCAGAAAACAACACTGAATTTCTATTAAATTTCAACGAATTTATTGACAGAAATACTCCAAGCAGTCCATCATGTAAGTATTCTTTTCAATTCACTGAAATTTTTCCTTAGGAAAATACTTATTCATAAATGAGAATTAGGCAAAATTACAGCTTGCATGCTCAAACCATGTCGTTTTGCTTTTTAGCTTCGCTGATTGTTTTTTTAGTAGGAATACATCGAGTGTTAGGATTTTCTACCCAAGGTAGAGATTGTAAAACTCATTTGCAGTTTTCTGTGTTCATTTAAGAAAGTTTGCAGAGCATTGTGCATCCAGTGCTTTCCACAATTCCTCTCAGCACTCTGTTCTAGCAGCAAATATCTACCAGTTAATTTTAAAATACACTCCAAATATTTTGAATTTATAGTTTATTCTCTTGAGCATATCAGCCAAAGTCAGTCTCAAATAGACTTCAAAATTTTGTAATGAAATCTTCAATCTACTTTCTTGTCAGTTTATATAATGAAAATAAGTAAAGAAAAGGAGCCAAGAACCAAAATAACCAAGAACCAAAATAAAAGATAAGCAAGTTTTATTGCTCGTTCACAAATTGGTTAAAAAGGTTCCATTTGGGCTTGAGTTGTTTAAGACCACAGATTCATGTAACTGCTGCAGTGGTGAGCGCTGGGCTTTGGGGAGGTAGTCACATTTTGACATTGGGGCTTAAAGTCTATTTGGAATACATCAGGAGTTAGGCTTTTGAACGAACCATCAGTAATGCATTAAGGTCTTGTAGTCATGAAAAATTCAATGCGTGGGTCTGTTTGTTTATGTATACACGTCTGTTTAGCGTTATTAGTAATTTATAAAAGGTTGGAATAAACTTTTTTTTGGTTTGTTTCCTGTTCCCCGTGTCTTTTTAACACGTTGCTGTCGGGGATCACTGATCAATTCAGTAAGAATCTCTCTGCTAGGCCATGTAACTGAAGGAATGTGCACTTATATATGAGATCTTCTCACAAAAGGCTATTTTTGTGTGCATGCGTGGGTGTTGATGTTTTTAATGGAGTGATCTTATACATTGACACATTGCTGACTGACTGAAATTTTATTTGAGTCCCTTGACTTAATCTTGGAAATGAAAGCATTGACCTCAAATGGTTAAACCAGTTAATAAATGAAAATTCTAGTTTAATATTTGCTAGTTTTATAAGAAAATATTGAGGACACATTTAGTGATATTGTAGTATACACTAGGGCTTAGTAAGTAATTATGTCAAAAATGTTATCAAACTTTTGCTATATTTAATTTGGAATCCACAACAAAATTCATGGTTTTCCTTCTTTTTTTCTAGTAATTAAGATACTTCAAAAATAGTCATCCGAATAAGTAAACAGTGTTGACTAGAGGAAACAGTGGCTATGGAAATTATCTTAGCTAAAAATGTTTTTTGAAAGGAATAACTAGTAAAATCCCCTAATTGAAATAATCTGTATACTATAAGTTTAATGCCTGTTATATATTGACTCACCCTGTCCAACTTTAACCTGTTAGAGGTTAGCCAGGAAGTTAGACAGCTACCTCTGTGGTTACTAAGGGGACAGTAAGAACAATTCACCCTACTTGTCTTCAACAGCTGCTAAGTAAGCAAGTCTCACTTTGCGGAGGTGCATGCAGTACAAGAGGATCCTAAACAAAAAAATGTATCCAGTAAGATATTAGGAGTCTATATTACAAGAAATAAATACCACTCTGAGTGACATATTTTGATATTTATATTCAGATAGAATATAAATTTAATTTCTAGGAAAATATCAATGCAGCAAGTCCATCCTAATTTCATCCTGTAAGCTTTTGTCATTACTTCCAGATAAAGAAATATTTTTAAAACAGTACCCTAACTTATATTAAATACTATATCATGACAGTGTTCCTGCAAATAGGGAAGGTGAGTCTGTGCCATTCCATGCGGTTTAACAGGTTTATCTAGCTAAGGCATGTAAATATAACTATATACTGGTGAATCAGAGCTGCTGGCTCTGTGCATAGCATGCTCACACATTCAGGCTTCAGTGGATTTTACAAAAAGCCTTTTTGCTAAAGTTTACAAAGCTTTTCAATACACAAATACACATCCCTATTGATCTCTTTTGTGAAAACATGTTGAATTGGGGCATTTTTGCAAGGAGCAAATTTTTTTTGCAATTAGAAGCAACGGGGGGGGGGGTGTATTTTTTTTTCCTCAGAAGGAGTTTTCAGTCTCCTCAGCAAGGCTGAGCATCTGGGGTTTGGCAGAATCAGAGCTGTAGGTTCCAATCATGGTTCTAACACTGATTTATTGTGTGACACTGAAGACCAAGAGCCAGATTTTCCTTTATGTTATTCAGTTCCAATTTAGCCTTGTTTTATTTTCTGTAGTAGTAAAATCTGTATTAAAGTGTGTGCTTACTTCTATTGATCATTCCTAGAACTTTCTCTTGCGAAGTGGTACTGAAAAAGATGCTTGAGAAGCACTGACTTCAAACCATCTTTTCAAAGTTATTTAAAAATGACATCCGTCTAAGCTACTTATTCAATATCAGTTTATTTCCCTGTACCCATTTTCAGATGGCAAATAGGTTTTATTGAGAGGCTGGGACTTAGCTGATTTAAATACATTTATATTGTAGTTAAATTATCTCATTTTTTGTAGCATGTAAGAGTAAGTATAACTAAGAATTAAGTGTTGATCCATTGCATCACCTGAGATAAAAAGTGTTTGGATGAAAACATGCTCCAAAAATAGTTTAATTTCCAAATGTAACATAGCGGCTTTGCAAAGCTGAGACCTGTACCCTTATCACCTTGCTTATTTCTATGACACAAAGTTTTTTTTAGGATACAATGATGAAAAAGCTTAAGTCAACAGTTTCAGACAAGTCTGTTTAACAGTAAGTATGTGACGTAACTTGAAGCTAGACAGTATGTCTAATAGAAATAGCCTGATTTTTGAGGCTATAGCATCTTGGCAACTCAGAATCTCATTTTAGCCATTTAATAAAACTCCATATCATATGGTTTCAGATGACTGTTTTAACTCTTTTTGATAGGTAATACTGATATGGTCATTAGAGTTTTGCTGGATGCAGGATTTACAAATGAACTTGCCCAAAATTATTGGAGTAAGCTGTCTCTGTAAGTATTCTTTTTATTGACTGGGATTTTTCCAGGTTTGATAGTAAAATAATATACATGTGTGTGTATATACAGATATGTTAATGTTTACACAGGTTAGATATTTAATTTACAGTTATGTACTTACATGACAACCTTTGACATAGGAAATTGTCAGAATTTCAGTCAGTTTTCATTTTAAATCTTATTTTTGTTTACAGTGATGGAGTTGTTGCACAATTTGTTGTTACAGATGGTGGAATTACACGAGTGTTCCCCAAAAGGTAACAATTATTATGAAATAGTATAGTATGATAATTTTGAAACCTGAAGGGTTAAATAATAGATTTATTGGATGAAAAACAACTTGTCCTACAGTCTAATCTGTACTGATAACTATGAAATGAATGGAATGTCTTGTTTTTCTTTGATTTTACCTGTGTCACTGCAGGAAACGGAACTGTAGCATTATTTCCATAATGGGTCCTTGTAAACCAAGTTTCTAATCAGTGTAGAGCAGCAGTAAAAGCAGTGCCCTTGTAGTAGTAGTGGGGCCATGCTAATCCCTAATTACTGCTAAGCACTCATTTGTTTGGCAGGCTGGCAGGCTGCAAATACTGCAAAGCAGTAGGCGATTTTTTTTTTAGACTAATAAGAGCAGACTAAATGGTCCAGGGACTTCAAGAGAGAAAAATGTATCATTACCAGAGGGCAAAAATTGAATATGAAAGTGGTCATATAATAAACCAGACACCCCCTTCAGTGACTGGGAATAGTGAGTGCACCAGTACAGATACACCAGTAAATGGCAAATTTGTCTGTTTTCTTAGGTTATTCTGTGCTTCCCCAAAATGACAAAATGGCAATGAATTTTACTCCCCAAATCAGTTTCTTTTCTGTTTTGATGTTATTAATGATATAAAATCTTTCAGGATGATTTCTCAAGAGATAGCATGTGCTAAGAAGGTTTGTTTATGTTTTGTTGTAAGTATGTTGCAGTTATATTTGTCTCAATATATCTAAAAATGATGAGACAAGATCCATGTTGTTCCAAGAATACTATTTTCTTTTTTTTTTCCAAAGTTTTTTTTTTAGTAATGACACCTGGCAGTTAACTAGTAAAAGCTGGCAAAGTCTGAGGACTGTATGAATGAATCTCACATTATTTCCTACTGTGAAACATTAAAAAAAAAACCAAAAAAACCAAAACTTCAGGACAGCTTTAATGAGACTCTAACTATCTTTTTTTGATCACTATTTTTTTGTGATTAGGGCAGGAGAAGATTGGTTGGAAAATGCTGAAACTTATGAAGTCAGCTTCTATAAACGGAGTTTAGATAATGACAACTATATTTTCACAGCCCCATACTACAACAGTAAGTCCTCACTCTTTTGAACTGTCAGAGTTAGCTAATCCAATATAAGCGTACTTGTGGAAGTTCCCCCATACCAGTTGAGGTCACTGACAAAGGATGCAACCAGACACTTCGTAAGAAGAAAAATCTTGGGATGTCACCCATTATTAAGGAAAAGGAAGCTATGAGGGCACTAAACAAGGGACATCATAATTTGTCATTGACTCTGGTGGCCCTGTATGCTCAGAATTAACAAAGCCAAAAACATGCAGAGTGCTGGTGTTCATTTATTATACTGAAACACTGTTTTACAGAGATGCTTTGGCAGAATTATTTTAAAAGGAAGTGAAAAAAATTGCACTCGGGGACAATAACACTACCTAAAAAAGCCTTACGTGAGATGAGCTCTGTATAGCTCCTCAGCGCCAAACTCAACTTGGCGGAGCAGGGATAAGGGTCCAGAGCCCATAACTCTGTCCACCGTGCCACTGCTTAATTTAAACTTTGCTTTCAAATTCTATTTCAAATTGCTGTTATTCACCCAAACCAGTTTGTCTGAAATACTGTGATATTTAAAACCTATATATGCACCACAGTAAGTGCTCGTTACTGATGTGAGTAGCGTTAACCTTGCCAAGCCCATCTATGAGCAGATGCTACCACAAATGACATACTCCTCTCTTAAACATATGGGATCTTTTATTGCTGTTATTTCATACTTATTTATTGCATCTTTTCTCTATAAAATATTAACAAGGTAATTAACTAAATTCCCTGAAGCCTTTGTTGTTCCTCAAAGAGCTCCAGGGAATGTACTTTTAACTTGCTTTTTCATACTAAGCAGTGTTGAAAACAGGCTGAAGTCCATCAGAGAAGTAATTGTTGGTTAGTGAGTGGTGTCAGTATACCCTGCACTGAAAAATACACAGACGACAGCAGGATAAAATCTTTGGCTCTGATCCTGGTTTTAACAGAGCTGCTCACATGTGTGAAGCTATTATGGCTCTGTTTGCAGGGGAAAAAAAAAAAAAAAAAAAGCCTACAGTAACTTTATGAAGCAGTGAAACCGTGTACAAAAAGTGAATGAAGAAAAGTAAACAAAAGTATTCCTTAGTCATCCAGATGTTAGTGATCTGAGCTATTACAGGTGATAAATGTATGGTACAGCTGGGCCAGTGCTTTTGAGTAAGGATTTTTTTGAATCATTCTGTGTATTTGAATAATTACTAATTTCAGTTTAAGTTTCAGGCTTTTATATCATCCTAACTTTTTTTTTTTCCCCCCTTCTATACTCTCAGAAAGCGGTGCCAATAGCTATGAAACAGGTATTATGGTAAGCAAGGCTGTGGAAATAACAATTAATGGGAAGCTTCTGAAACCAGCAGGTAAGATTGAGTGGTGCTGAAACTCTAAATACCTTAGTTATTTGTTTGTTGCTCAACAGTGAATTAGAAATGTAATTGAGATTTCAAAGGAACTTCACTTTATATAATATCCTTTTCTCTGAGACTGTTTTAATCTTGCTAGTGGAAATCAAGCCAGAGATCTGGTTGTGTTTGAGTAAGAGTGCTTAATTTATTAGTCTCATGAAGGATGTTGGTGGTCAGACAACTGAGCAAAACTCGTATTTTGCCCTTTTCTAGTTTAATCATTTAGATGTTGTTATAATTTTTCCTTTCTTTTTTTAGGATTCTACAGTTACCTTTTTTTTTTTTTCATTTTACTAAAAAAGACTTTCATGTATTTCTTGTTAGTTGTTGGAATAAAAATTGACGCAACCAGCTGGATGGAAAATTTCACAAAAACCACAATCAAGAGCTTGGTAAGCAATTGACCAAGTCTTTTTTGAACTTTATTTGCATTTCTCAAAGCTTCAGATGCAAATAGGTCTAATAGCTCTTTGTGCCAGAGTCACACTGATGCGTAGTTGCCAAGTAGTTGTGGTATTTAAATCATCCAAATGCACAAAATAAATCTATGTTGAAATAGGCTGTATTTTGTACGTCTCTTGCTTTCATAATTGTAGAACATGGATAAAGACAAAGACAAATTACATATTCCAGCCAGTAGGCTCCCTACTAAGATTATGCCGTAGCAGTGAATAAAATCTGCAAAAGAATTGGTGAATCGTACTTTTATTTAATAAGGAGGATGGGTAAGCAGTGAACAGTAAGGATTTATATTGCAACCAGCATCACAGCATTTTAACAGAACTTAATGAAATAGGTGCTTAACCCTTTCATTCCTTATATCTAATACTTAGGTGTAACTGGGAAGGAGGAAAGGCTAAATGGAAAGAAAACCTAAGGAATTATTAGTACATTGGGAAAGGAGAGGCACAAAATGGAGACAGTTGTGCAACAATTGGATGAGGCAATGTTGCTTGATTGGTTGTATATTACAGGAATGAACAACAGCAACTGGCTGTTGTAGGTGTTAGAGCTGTAGTTCAGTGGGTAGGCAGATGTGTTGCCTATATGTCAGAACAGTTAAGGACAAAAATGCATAACTGAAAAAGAGACAGAGGAATATCTTAGAATTAATTTGAGATGAATGACTGCAGCATTTTCTGGTAGTTGTTTTGCTCAGAACATAATGCAAGGTGAGAGTTATGTGTGTGTGTATACACATATTGCAAGAAAAAGAGAAAAACATGTTAGTGTTCAAAGCCATAAAAGATAACTGGAGATAGTGGGCTTCCTTTGTCACATGAGATTCCCATGCTTTGAAACTGATGAAGCTTTTCATGGTCAAAAAAGATACTTGGCAGCATGTTTTCTGGGTTTTATTTCCATACACCAAACACATAGAAATGCACGTGTTCTTTCTTTTTTGCTTTGTATTCCCAACACCGACATCCTGACAAGTCCCCCAAACTATTTATTTCTAATACACTGAGCATTCTTAAAAAGACTTTGAAAACAATAGAGATTGTGCTGTTGATAATTACTGAATACAGGTTGTTCACGGGGATATTACTGATAAACAACATATGCTCAAAATTAATTTTGATTAATATGCAGATATTGAAAATCAAATCACTTGTTCTTGTCTTTATTGATTAATGACTGTGAAATACAGGTTCTTTGGAAACATTTCAGTGATTTTTTTTTCTGTTGTTTAGTGCAACAGTGAAATCTGTGGCTGTGAGAGAAACAGTATGGTAAGAATATGTTCAGTTTATGAATATTTGGCAGATTACGAAAATTCACTCATTCTCTCTAGATCTATGTAAGACAACTATCATTATTTTTTGAGGGTTAATTTTACAGAAAACAGGACTTAGTCATTTGTGTCTTGAGAAAGATGAAGATTAGGAGGGAAGGGGGTGAAAGAGGGTATAAAAGTGAGGTGAAGAGAATGATTGCAATGAGGTTATGAAAACAAGAGGGGGAAAAAACCACAATAGAGTAAGAACAACAGAGAATGATGTGAAGAAAAATGTGTGAGAAAGATAATGGTAATTTTCTAAGCAAGAGACGAATCCTGAGGAAAGAAAATAAAAATTAAAAAAAGAAAAAAAACAACTAAGAAAAAGAAATCTAGAAGAAGAGTACCTTAGAGAAGGGTAAATGCAAACTGAAAAGCACCAGAGTACATGAAGTGCCCTTCAACAGTCATTAGTGATCCTCCATTTCTCTGTTCCCAGCCTGTTCAGGATTTGGGGATCCCACAGCTCTGCTAGCACTCAGGAGAGCACAGCTTCAGGGGCTATCACAGTATCAGATTCTGCCATGTGCTTAAAAGCTGTCTCTGTTCAGGTCTTCTGTGAGTTCTTTTGTGGAGTGTGAAGATCATTAAATGCAGGAATTACAGCAAAAAGGGCACTCTGGGAGGTTATCTATTTGGCCTCATTGCTATCTCTCCAATCTCTGCAAGTATCTTTTACAAAGTGCAAAGCATAGGGAAACAGTGGGCTTCCCAGTCCTGCACCTGACACCTGGAAGAAACCCACTACAGTCCTTGGCAAGTGAAAATAAGCATGACTAGCAAGCTGAGAGTCTGCCCCTAAGACCTTCACCATTAAAAGCTGCAAATGGAAAAGGACTAAGCATGGCTGAAGGACACAAGAAGTTGTAGTCCCTTATTATGAGTTGAGATTCAATTATAATCAGACTTTATTAAATCTGATATAACACTCTTAGAGCTAACAAACTATTGAGCAAATAAAATTTTACAAAGGAACTTTTATGAAATTAAGCCACAAATAAGCCTTTGATCTGCACAAACTTTTATAATACTGATAATGCTACTTATTATAGCTTAATATTGGCCCTTGGCTATGGGGTTGTGATTTAGCCTGAGCCACATAGATTTGAAGATACTTCTGAAGTGTTGAATAAAAAATAGTTTCTTACAGAGTGTTCTCATGACAAGTCCTTCCTGCAAAACTTATTTTACTTTCTTATAATAGCATGTGGACTGTGTTATCCTTGATGATGGTGGCTTTCTTTTGATGTCAAATCGGGATGAATATACACAACAGGTATGTATATTTTAAGTGCAGTACATGAAACACAGCAAGGAGAAGTTTTATGAGAAAAAAATATCATTTCACTCTCAGTTCACCCTAATATAATCTTTCTTTTATTTATATATATTGTGCCAATAAGAGTTTGAAAGAACAGGTCAGAAATTGAAAAACATTTCTGAATTGCAAAAAAATATTGCCATATCAGAAATTCCAGATATTTTGTCAGTCTTTTTCACAGACTTGTTTATGGTTCGAGATGCCAGACCTCTACCAAGTTGCGTTCTTTGTGCTCTGCCCTGAGGCTGGTAGGCTGCTGATGGTTCTGTGATGGCAAGGGCAAGTGGTATGGCATCCAGGCACCTTCTTTCTCATATTCCTCTTGTTCTCCCCCAAGCAGGGTGGTCTCATTGATAGTGCATTTAATGTCTAACTGGAGTTCTCCAAACAAGCTTTTGGGGGAGAAATAGTCAAACAAAGAAATAAATACATAAGCAGCAAGACCAGATGAGTTGTGTAGAGGAAAAAATAGTGTGTGGGGAAAAAAAGTCAGAACTGTTCACTTTTTTATGAGGAAAATACTTGGAAATACTTTTAACTTATCTCCATATATTCTTCCTCATCAGATTGGAAGATTCTTTGGTGAAATTGATCCTGGCCTGATGAGAAACCTGATTAACATGTCCCTGTATGCCTTTAATAAGTCATATGACTATCAATCGGTCTGCGATCCCGAAGAGGAACCAAAGCAAGGAGCTGGACTTCGTTCTGCTTATGTGGTCAGTAGCCCCTTGTGCGGTGATGTGGTGACTACCATTCCCTTAAAAGTCTGCAATTGTTTATACAAATAACATTATCTCTGTTGGTTTTTTTCCCAGCCTACGATAACGGATATTTTGCATCTAGGATGGTGGGCTTCAGCAGCTGCCTGGTAAGTACAAGTGTGTAGGTCTTCATGTCCAAACTAGAATTATTCAGTAGGTTGAGACTGTTCAGTCTTCCCCCCCATAAAACTGCTCTGAAGCCTTTGTTTCTGCAGTTTCTCATGGTGAAAATTCTCAGCTATGTTTCCAAACACCTTGGAAAAATTAGTGATGAATTCAAAACTACTCTTGCCAGGTTTTGTGATTATGTGTTCTCACTCTACAAAATCAGCTTCGGGAAGTAGAGCTGGGATTAATGGTCTAAGTCTGATTGACAGATGTGATGGTTCAGATGAAATTATTGCATTTAGAGTTATTGATCACTTGGTTCCCTATTTCAGAATATCATCTTTCCCTTTTTCTAGCAAGAAGTCATAAGAAAATCAATGTTTGCTCTTCAGTGAATCATTTTACAAAAACACATGAAGCTTCTCTATTACAAAATGTAAAGAAGTCTTGCTTCAGAATACAGGATAACCAATATGTTTTCTGATGGCATAGTTCAGTTAAAGGTTCTCATGATAATTATTAGTTGGTTCTTTGAAATGTAATGTGAAAAGCACTACTGAACCATTTCACGGAAGCAAATATATATAAAGCATTTTGTATAATTCTATAGTCATTGTCCTAGCATTTTCTAGAGCTGTGGAGAAAAGTTGGTATATTTGGACTGTTGTGGAGTTTTGGGATTGACCTTGAGAGAAGCAGGATTACACCGATAATTGGGTTTATCTTTCACAAGCAGAATACTGGATACATTTTAAAACCAAAAATCCATTTAGGACGTTTCTTTCCTTTTGACTTTGGTTTGTGCATTATTAATAATAGCCACAGAAATAATTTAACCTATTTCAGAGCCATGTAGGTAGACATCCCTATCAACTGCTTCCTCCATCACCATATTGGGATAAGTAATGGGGACGGATGTGATACTTTTGCATTGGTGTGAAGTACACCCTTGGAGATTGTCTCTTTTTCTAAAATTTCATTATGCTTATTTTTTTGTAATAATGATCAAGCTGGAATAAATTGCCTACTTTATGATGCTAAGAGTTAAAATATATAGCAGCTGAACAAACATACAGTAACTTTCTCATGGATAGCACTATGAAGATTGTATGTTGGGGTTTATTGTTGGTTACATTTTGTTAACTGCAACAGCAAAAATCTCGGTTTTCTTGGACAACAGCAAACCTCAAAAACTGGAGATGGGCAATAATCCAGAAGAGAAACTTGAGCTCTTCTCAAACAGAGAAACTTTAGTTTATCAGTGTTCAAATCAGACTCAGTGGTCTGGACTCAATTTAGACCTGAGGTTTATTTTGTGTGATGTTTAACTTGAAAGCACCACATGAAAGTACTTTCTATGGACATGTTTTTAATGGAATCTAGGTCAGAAGCAGGCAGAGAAGGCCATTAAGCGAGCAGAGTGAAAAGGGCTGACCAAAAATTGACTCAGTTAGGCACCTGGCAAAAGGAAATGCAGCGAAATAAGAGAAACTGGGTTATTAAAAAAAACTATAGTGTTTCAGACAACAATGTGGGATAAAGGTGTGAGTGATAATTTTCAAAATTTAAATGCATTTAGTTAGGAGAGTACATATCGTTTCTCCTTCATGCTCTTTTAACTCGGAAGATTTTACAGTTTTCCCAGACTGCCTTTTTCAGTCAGTTCCCTGTAAATTCTGTGGTAAGCCCGTACAAAGGATTACTATTTTCTGTCAGCAAATTGTACCACCATTGAATGGCATCAGGTCTCTTCTCATCCATGACAGTTGGTGCGCTGTCCCTCTGATGATTCAAGGCACAAAGCTGTGGTTGTGAGTCCAGAGCTCCTTCAGGCAATGCCTCCACTGGAAAGGTGACGGGCGGATTCCATTTCTTTACACGTGGATCATGCTGGATAAGGACAAAAGGAAAAAATCTTGGTGTTGAATAAAGCTATACAGTTCCTTCTCTCTGCAGAACAGGCGTTAGAACAGGACGAGATGAGGAGAGATCAGGGAATATTTGTAGGTAGAAGCAAACCTAAAACGTGGTGACAAGAAACTACAACTTAGGAAGGTTTAAGCAGAAGCAGGGAGTCAAGGAATGTAACTGTTGCAATTCCTGTTATGACAGCTTGGTAGTGGGGAAGGGGGTCATGTATTTGGCCAGCTGGTACTTGCTGCGAGTAAATAAACCAGGAAAAATATAATCTTGAGTGAAGAAAATAATTTGAAATAAATGGAGATCCTTAGGCCTAAGTGTTTCAGCAGCATCTAGGAGGAAAATATATTCCATACCACAAGAGCAGGAGTAGAGATGATTTAAAAGTCAACTGCTACAGTAATGATTTTTATGATATACTTGTAATATTCCAGTGTTTGTCTCCTTCTTGGAAATTTAATGAACCTTAATCAGTGTAAAGTATCCAATTCAGGAACGTTTTCCCTGAGTGTGTTCAAAAGGAGTTCTGGTTGGTTCAAGTGGAGGAACGCCACAAGATGTCTCTTCCACCTCCCGCAGAGGTGTGAAAGGAGGACTTGGATGGCATGATAACATTTCTGTGATGTGAGTTATGGGCACAAATGATAGGAAACCTCAACAGCAGAATAAAAGATTAGTGTGAAAAAAGACCTGGGAGAAAGTGTGAGAAGAAAACCAGAGTCAAACTGTAAGGTTTAAAGAAACACAGCTTTAATAACTGGCAAAAGCATAATAAGCCGTGATGATTTTGTTGCTAGTAACTCTTAGTTGAGTAGTTTTTAAGGATCCATTAAAATACGAAGAAAACAAAGAGCCTTTAACAAATATATATTGTCTTTCTGTGTTCAGGTCTATCTTACAGCAGCTGTTTTTGAGCTTGACTTTTCCACGTTTCCTTGAAGCAGGTAAGTCAAGAGAATGTTAAAGAGTCAACTTTGAGTGAAGTAGAAGGTAAGAATCTAGGCTGGGGGCCATATTTGGATCTCCCCATTGCATCTGTGATTTAAAAATGTCATTGTTTATTTATTTATTTTCTACTTTCTGTCAGCTGATATGGAAGATGATGATTTTGGTGCTGCCCTGCCTAAAACAAGCTGTATCACTGAGCAAACTCAGTATTTCTTTGAAAACGATGATAAATCCTTTGGTGGGATAGTAGACTGTATAAACTGCTCCAGGTAAAATTTCTTCAATATAAATAATAACTTTCTGATACTAATTTATTTTACAAAAGAACAAAAGATTTATTTTGGATTAATTACACCAAACTTACATAAGGAAGACTAAGAAGTATATAGGCAGTAAAATGATAAATTGCATTCTCTTTGTATTTGTTTAGAATTAATTTTAGTTTTAATAATTAAAGAATTATAGAAATATTTTTGTCAAATATTTGTTTTATAATCTTTATATGTTCCATGAAAATTGTATTTCTATCTCTGTTACAATTTGTATTCTTTCAATTTATTATGTGAACTTAAAGGCGTTCTGCAATATTCAGAAGGAGATGATTTTCTTTAATCTGGTTATGTAGTGGAATTTTTGATGGTCAAGAAGATTATGCAATTTATCTTCAAATTTACCTTCTAGTCAATAGTGCTCATGATTTAAGAGCTGTGGGTCTTATTAAGCAAACCATGCTGTTTTGTTTTGTGATTAAAAGAATTAGCCTTCAGACTCCATGTGCCTATTCAAGATGATGTTTAATGTTATGTTAAAAAAATTGGATACTTGAGAAACATAGCAACTTGGACCTAGTTCTGTGGTTCCTACAAAAGCCTGCTGGGTTGGAATTTTGCATACATTGGGAGTTTCTTAAAATGTCTTAGAAATTAAAATTAACAGTCAGATATCAAACTCCTTGATGATGATATTTCAAGCCAGGAAAGAAAGGCAGAGGACAGTGGAGAATGGCGAATACAGCCAAAACACACAGACATTTTTTCTGCTTCTGTACTTCCTCCTCCATGTTGCTTGTGTTTGTGTGGTACCTGGTTGTGCAGAGAACTCATTAAGCTGATATTTTTTTTTGTTTTGGTTTTGTCTTCTGTAGGGTTTTTTTGGTTTGGTTTTTGGTTGTGGTTTGGTTTTTGGTTTTTTTTAAAACTCTAGGGAGTTTTCAGAGGAGTTCTTCAGTTTACTGAAAGACTACAGAAATTATTATGCTAATATTGCAAAAATAGTGCCACAGTGTAGGAATGAGTATGAAAGAACAATTTAAGCTGGTTAAAACAACCAGATATGTCATCACGGCATCAGTTATTTAATTAACAGGTATTTTGTCCTCTTTATTGTACCCAATCAGTGGTGTGAGCTCATCATCTACGGAATTTCAGAAATAAGCTGATCAATTCACACCTAAGTAATAAAACTCTGCTTATATAAAGTGGTAACCACCTATATGAAAAGACTTTCTTGTTATTTTGTATGTGTATGAAAATGTATTTGGAATCCACTAAAAGCAATTAGCTTGTTAGATTGTCCTGAATTTACCTCTTTGATAGGTAGAATATATTTTATTAATGACTAAGAAATATTAAGATTTTCTTCTCTGCTTTTTGAAGGTCTATCTGCCTTTCCAGTAAATTTAAATTGTACATGAAAATTATCCTTGACAAATCCAGAAATATCCTTACCTTTAATATCTAAGGCATGAAGTGTAGTATCTGTAGCTTAAAGGTATATTGCTGCCTATTCAATTATTTATAAATTGGAAATGACCCTACTGACTTAAAGGAATTATATGTACAGAAAAATACAACAAATACACATCCAGTACACAGCATCCATACCCTAAACCTCTTTCTCACCCTTTTTACAGATGGGTTTATGTGTTGGGGTTTTGTTTGGTTGGTTGATTTTGTGGTTTTTCTCAGTGTTCTTAGGGGAAGAATTGATGCTGAACGGATTTTGTTTCTCAGCAGAGCTACTGTTGTAGCAGTACAAAGCTAGCTATTAATTAAAGTCATTTTATGCTCTTTTCCATTTTTTCCACTAATAAGTCTAGTTGAAAGGGGGAACCATGGAAATGTCCAAAAGATTACAAAATTTGTTACAAATGTTTCTTGCTGTTTGCTAATGGAAAAGATAAACAGTAGCAGGCAGACTGAATCTGTGAAGTTGGATTACTTTTATTGCAATACTCTGTGTCCTTCTCAATATGGATTTCCTTGCTTCATTTAAACATAGGGTTTTTTTGGCTTTTTTTCCAGACTTTATCATGCAGAGAAGATTTCAAACACCAATCTAGTATTCATTATTAGTGACAGCCAACTGCTGTGCCGCTCCTGTGACCCAAAGCCACTGATGCAAGCAGAGAAGCCGGGTATCCTTTAAAATCACGTTACTTAGTAGTGTGGATTGATTTTTGGCTATCATATACTGGAATATATTTTGAAAAAATGGCCTGTTTATGTACACATTAGTAGCATAATTGCCGTTGGAGTATTTGAAGCAGCAGATATTTCTGGGTGATATCACAAATCATCTGAAGCAGCAGTCATTGAGGTAGAGAGCAAAGCTGGTTTTTGTGAGGACCTAAACAGAAATGGGCTTACAGGAACTTACTGAAGTTTCCAAAAGGCAGATGCAGTCTTGGATCCAGGACAGAATAATGACATGCAGCTGGGCAGGCTGGGGGTGAAATGGCTAGAAACAGCTTTGCAGAAAAGGACTTGAGGATCGTGATGGACAAGAAGTTGAACATCAGTTGGCATGGTGCCTTCCAGTAAAAAAAGCCAGTCACATTCACATCCTGGGCTATGTTAGCAAGAGTGTAGTCAGCAGGTTAGGAGAATTGATCCATCCCATCTCTTCAGCACTGGTGAGACTACATCTGAAGTGCTGTGTACAGTTTGGGGCACCCTGGTACCACACTGACATAGTGGATCTGGAATATAGGACTGGCAAGGGGAGCCTGAGAGTCCTGAGTTTGTTCAGCCTTTAGAAAAGACATGGGCATGTCTGTCTAGGGAAACAACAAAAAAAGGGCAACACCAAAATAAGAGTGTTTGGTCATGAAAAGTTGGGATGCCGCACTGATGCCTGCAAGACTGAGGTGAAGTGATGGAGGCACTTGAGTGTGCGCTCAGTGCCAATGAGAACCACTTACTTCTTGTGGAAACTGCTTTAACCATCAAAGGCTAGAGTTTATCCAACAGCTAGCATAGAGTTTCTTCAGAGCTGGCTGAAGATATAGGTGGCATATATGCTAAGCAGAGTCCTCGCAACACATGCATTAAAACTAAAAGCATGCAGAAGTTTGTTCTAATTTACAGCCACCTTCATGCCAATCTCTATGCCTTTAGCCTGTTCACTCCAGCAGATACCTGTAGGTGATTGTGATGGAAATACATGAAACCAACGTACACATATCCTAGGCCAGGAGGAATTCACCTCAATTTCTCTCTGCTATATATGCTTGAGGACAGCATGCCAGAGATGGTAAATCACATAATAACTTTGATTATTATGACAGAATATCGAAAACAATTAGTAATACCTTGGTCCCTCTCAGGAAGTTAGTTGAGACAGCATCTCCCATTCCTGAAAGAAAAGCAGATGGTAGTAGAGATGATTGTGTTTCTTTGGCACAAGCAATGCATTCATTGCCACATTAATAAAACTGGAATTCCATCTACGCTTGGGCTGAAAAGTTATATTGGGGTGGAAGCAATATCCATGTCATTACAGAACTATGTAAACACAGCCTAATATTCTAATTGGCTCTAGTCCATGACAGTTTGATTAACTGTTGCCTCTGACTGAATTTATAGACAGCACTTGCTACAGAAAATGAAGCACGTTTGATGGGAAATGGGCACATGACTTGCATTTCCCTGTGGGTCTCAAACCTTCTAGAAAGCAATAAATGACCTCAAATGGCAGCCAGAGCAGCTGGGTGGGCTTATATTGACTCAATGAACTATTTTATTTTTGTTCCAGCTATGCAGTACTAAGCTATTCTCTCTTTTCTGTAACTAAGGTACATTGTGAAATGCAGATGTAGCATAACATCACACAAGCAGACAGAATGACCTTTGGGTGCTATTCAGATGGTTATTATTAGACTCTGCTTCCTTCTGGCTGGTACAGCTTTACTTGTGCACATGGTCTTTTAGAATATTTCTACCTTTCGACTTCCCTTTCAGCTGGGCCCCGGCAGAGGAAAGGGGAGATGAGTCTGATAACATCTGAATGAAGACAGATGTAGATCTGTAGAACTAAATTCCCTGTCCTCCTGCCTTTTCTTCCACTGGGCATCTCCACTCATTGCAATGAAGCTGCTATGGTATCCACAGTAGTGCACGAATGGGATTGCTTTAGGTATAAGTTAGAGCTACTAAGATAAGTAAAGTTTTGGTGCTCAATTTCTTTAAAACATTCTAGCTTAGCTTTAATGTGTGTACTACCAATAGTGGAATAAAAAAAGCTTATACATACTGAACGGTAATATAAGCAGGTTTCAGCAGAAGAAGATTTAGCAGTTTACCATATCCATGCCTTTCAAGTGCGCTGCAATGACTTGTGTCCCTTGTTAGCCTGTGGCAATTGTGAAACATAGTATTTACACTTAAATATCAGCAATTACAGATTTCAGAGACATAAGCTAAAGCATCTCCTCACATCTACAGTTAGCTTTTAATAGCATGTCACTGCTCCCATTTCTATCCTGCTGTTCTGCTGTTAGTTTGGACAGCTTTTTCTCTGTCTCCCTTCACCACTGAAATGCCAATGAGATCTGGTTAGTTTTTCTGTCATTTACTATCGAAGTCTGCAGTGGGATGATTTTGTCTATATTATTTGAGATAATATAGGTGTACACATAATAAAACCCATAGTTCTTATAGGCCTTCACTGAATTTTCAGCCTGTATATAGCATTACTTTTCCAAACAGGCTTCCTCTCTTTTACTGTGCATCTTCATTTTAGCAGAACTCAATGGTTAACGTAAGCTATACCAATCAGCACCATTAAAAGTTTACTACTTTATCAAATACTTTCTGTAATATTTATGCAATGCTAATTAAAGCAATACAGAAAATCTTAAAAAAACCCTCAGCTTTTATTTTTATTTTGTGTACAGTTCTGTAAGTACTGTTTCTAAAAAGTTACGCAGGATGTTTATTTTCTTGATTAAAGCAGTGTAAAAACAAAGGGGGGGGGGAGATTTGATTTTTATTTATCCAGAGGGTTAGTTTTGTTCAGTTTTCTTTAATTTAAACAAGAAACTGTGACTATTGATGTTTATTTCAGTACTATCTGCATTAGCATAGAATTCCTCTTCTCCCATGAAAGTAAAACCAGAATGTTAATCCTGCTAATATACAATGCACAAAACCCAGTCATATGCTCCTTAACCAGAGAAACAGATGAAGGGCCAAATCCTTGTGAAATGGTCAAACAACCTAGATACAGAAAGGGTCCTGATGTCTGTTTTGATGAAGCCAAACAGGTAAAATTGAACTTGTAAGACTGTACGACTATCTTTAAAAATAATTGTAGCGTTGTTTTAGAAGAGTAGTGAAGACTGTTTAAAAGTACCTTGGTGCCTGGTAACCTATCTATCACTAAACATACTGTTCACTGTAGACCATAGCCACTCTATTTCAAGTATCCCATGATTAACATAAAATTTACAGCTGCTTTCTTATCTGCCTTTCCTATAACCATTGTACTTTCACACATGATTCCCACTGAAAAAAAAGCCATCAGCGAGCATAAAACTGATGGTCTCTGTACAGTGCTGTGGAATTCAATTCTATGGCTTTCACAAATAGACTATAATCCTGGTTTAGAAGTAGTATTTTTATATTAGTGTTTTCAAATTTTATTTAAGGCGTTGTTAAATGATTAAAAACATTGTATCTGGTTTAGGATGTTTTTCCTCTTCGTAATTCTGCAAGAGTGTATTGACCTTAGGTCACATTCTTAGCAGGTATAAAAGTGCATTGCTTTACTGAAATCAGCAAAACTATGCTGTTTAATACTCCCTGTATTGTATACATCACAGTTTTGAAGGAGAAAAATTCTAACTGTGCCACATACATAAATTATTTTGAATATGTTCTCTGTCTTACCTTTCAAAATACTGTATGAAAGAGAATATGTTGAATTCAAATTGTTCAGAGTAAATTTCAAGACAAAAAGTACTGAACCAGGAAGTACCTGCCATTATATAAAATAATTACTTTTAAAATGTATTTGTAATGCCTCATCCCATTTCTGCAAAGGAAAGATTGTTCAAAACTAATGCAGTTAGTTGGCTATAGCTGCTGTATACCAAGTTTTGTTCCAGTATATTCTCTGTTTTTCTTTAATCAAGCACAATTACTGAGATGCCAGTTGTGTTAAAAAAGTCCAGGCAGTTGGTATTCAGTGCATTTTTCTAGTAACCAAATTTTATGTTAAAAACGAAGCCTTCTTACTGGCCAATAAAGGTTAAACAAAATTGAAAAAACATCCAAAAGCTATTTGGCCATTGTAAATATTTCAAATTCTCCTGATACGATTGTGTGTGAAAGTACTCTTGCTCACTAGCTTGATGTGCTAATCAGTGTGTAAGTCCTGTGTTTTGTAAGAGTGGATTGTTTTGGTTAAGTTTATTTGCAAAATTTGCTGTGAATCTGTTGCTCTTGGGTGGATGCTTTCACATTAACTCTGCTAACTGCCAGCAATCTGCATGATATCTCATCTCGTATGTCTTTTTTTCTGTGTTTTCTTTCCTTTCCTCTACTTGCTACTTTGCCCGTTATTAATAGGATCAGCCTATATGCACAACGAGTCGTGCCTCTGCCATGACGTCTGCTCCTATCTTCATTTTTCTGCAAGTTTTCATGTGGTGTGGATGGTCAGTTACTTTCTCTAATTTTTTGTTTTGTTCTTGGCTTAAAAAATTAGCAGACTTTTTTACTTACTAAGCATACAAAAGAAAACAGAATGAAGCGAGTCCCAAAAGCGACAATCTGGAGCAAATTACTATTGCAATATTAAGGGAAATTAAATATGAAAAAACTCTGTCTGGAGCCTTGTAAATCACAATTACAGAACACAAGGGCCTCTCCCATAGCAAATACAAAGACATAGGAACCTGTTGGGTTTATATCATTGGTTCTTTGAGATTGCACATGTACCACCTGAATCAGTGTCATTCCCTTCAAAACGTTTTTCCCTTGTCCCTGTTAAAACAAAACAGAAGAAGAAAGTTTTCTGCGCACAGACATACAAAGGTACAAAGTAATTAGACAAGACTTTAATGCCTGTGAAAATAAAGCTGTACTTAGGGACAGCAAGGATGAGTGCTCTGTGTAAGAGTAAGTGTTGCTATTGAGAAGAGTAAGGAGTTTTCACTGCATTCAAATTAACACAAATGTTAATGATGGAAGGTAATAGTGTGCATCAGATTGGTTGAACTATGAATTCAGCAAAATAATATTTTTACTTTTTAATTTTTTGCAACCTAAACATATTCATTGCCTAGTTGCAGCAGAAGGTGGGTTTTTTCTTCTTATGAAATACATAGATACATGAAGTCTTGCATGTTGACCTCGTGCAGACGCTGGGGTTCATAATGAAAGCCTTGGTATTTTAGACTGCATTGCATTTAATGGCGTGAGAGTGTGCACTGCTGTGCTAGTGACATGTATGCAAGAGAACTGCTGAGCTGAAGAGAATAAAATTCATGACCTTGTACACTGGGGGGTTCTGATCAATATTATTACTCAGAAAACCACTAGAGGGAGATACTAACATGTCTATCAAGGTAAAGCCGACAGAGAGGCAGAAATGGAAATTTAGAGGTCATTTTTCAGAGTTAGTGTAATAAAATATTGAAAAGTGTAACAATGTAGAACACTCATTTTCTCAATAATTTATATTGTCTTTATACTTGGGGGGAGATTCAATTAATATCACTTGAATATCAGTGAAAAAAAGCTTAAAGTTCTGTTTAACAGCTGCATTTGAGAAATTTTGAAATTTCCTACTCTGTATTTAAATTATCTAATTTCTAGCAAACATAAGAACTTGCACAGCCATGGCTGAAGGTTGTAAGGAAGGGTGAAAGTCCTTTTCCCCAAGCGAGTGGTATTTACATTAAAATCTGGAAGATTAACATCTCATGTTCTACTCATGCAATTTGCTCTGCAAGAAACCTCATTTTAATTAAGAAGCTACTGTCCAATGTACATAAAGCATCAGAGACTCACCTTGAGCTGAATTCTTTATGTCCAAAATGGTCTCTCTGCTCAGGAAGGCAAGACAAAATACTGGGAAACCCATGAAATATAATTTTAGCTGATAGACTTTTGGCAGCAGAAAGTTATAAAGGTAATTTTGTTCATCCATCCTTTTTTTAATAACTTTGTGATTTTGGAAATGAGTTCTCACTGGGCATTAATCTGTGTAGTTTTATTAAAATCACTGAAGCCAACACAGATACAAACCAGCTGATCAGGTTCAATAATGGCAGCTGGTTTTCTTTTTCATCAAGGATAACAAAATAGCCTTTATCACCCCCTTGAATAGCTTGCTCATACTTTGTATATGCACACTGGTTTTGTTTGCGGTGTCTGAGAATAAAGAGAAGAACTCCACAAGTTTTTAGCCACTTCTGGGAATGTGTTATTTCCATCAGCTCCGAGGGATGTCTGTGAGAGCTTTGAAGGTGATTAGCAGCCCAGACAACTGTATACATCTTGATGGGATTGGCTATATCCTGGGTGTATGTATGGGTATTGACAGCTTTCTGTGGTAGTCCAAACAAAGGAGGGTGACACAAAATTTGTGAAAGACCATGCATTGGGACTTGAAATGACTCTTGAGTAAAAACAAAGGTGTTCTTCATGTGATATGAAGCATTTAAAATACATGCTTATAAAAGGTATAACTTTGAGGTAACCCGTTGATATCAAAGGCCAGATCAGAAGGTCTTCAGCAGATTTTGTTTTACCCTTTAAACACTCAGTGTAGCACAATGGGTTCTGTTAAGTGATTAAGGTTTCAAGGCAAAGTTTTAGTATATTAAATAGTTATAGTGTATGTCTAAAGGAGTAACAAGTGTGTTAGACTTGGGGTGTGTGTGTATATATATGTATTCATATTTCCATGTGTGTCTTCAAAATTTTGGACTGACACTGCCTCCAAGGAAATGTTGATATATAGCAATGAATATGTGGGTTTGATACTCAACAATTAATGCAAGGTTTTATAAAAGCATTCATTTCCATTCTGCAAGTGCTGAATAATTTTCACAGTGTGTGATGTTGTAAAATAACCCTCTCTAGAGTTATCATAGTAGGGCATGACATGAAAGAGATGACATTTGGATTTGATGCTCCTCTACCTGAAGCATGCAAGGAAATTTGGCATGTGACTTAATAATGCAAGAAATTTCTGATGCACTTCTGATGAAATGAAACTGGCTAAAGAGTATTCTTTCCAATTTCTTTTCCAAAGAGAAATTATATCTACAGAATATTATTTTGAAGACAACTAAAAGAGTTGTTGGTTATTCGGGTTTTCTGTGTGACTAATGCAGTGGTGACCAATGTAATGGGCTGGAAAATTTCAGTGAAACTGCTTAAAATTAGTTCAGTGTCTAATTGCACTGGCAGAGGCAAAGATAAGGTAAAGATAAGATAAAATAATGCTATGTAATTTGTTATAAGAAATCTTAAAAATAACATTAGCAGGATTGAGAAGTTTTCTTAAAGTTCAGGAATAGGGGAAGTGTTCTCAAAAAAGACATCTTGTAGACCACTCAAAACTGATGTTTTGCTCAATCTAGTTCCAAATTAATTATGTGATCCCACTCTTTTCCATAAAACTGTTGATTTTTTGGATTTATGTAAATCAGCATGTAATCAGATAATTTTCCTCCTTTATTTTTTTACATTTCTTGTGATTTCCACATCAGCTAAAGCACACAAGAAAATTATAATGTGCAATGCCAGAGAGGAAAGGGAATTTAGATAGGATTTACTGTACCTTTTTTTGCCACTACTATTTTTGTCTTGGCTTAGCACACAAAAGAATAACCAACTCCAGAAAGAATATTTAGAAATTGTTCTTGGCAGAAATGCTGGTTTACCACTGTAAATTGGTCTACAAACCTCAGAAATTCAATGTGACTTTGATCAATATGAGTTTAAAATCTCACCAACCTTGAAATATGTGTATAAACCTTGCATACTTTCGTCTAGTACAGCTTAACTCTGTCATTCATAGTAAAATGATGCCTGTCCTGCATGAGGCTTCCCAAGACATTCTCCACTGTTGTGAAGTTGTGAATCCTTTAAAAACTTCATAGAATCATAGAATCATAGAATCATAGAATCATAGAATCATAGAATGTTTTGGGTTGGAAGGGACCCCTAGAGGTCATCTAGTCCAACCCCCCTGCAGGGAGCAGGGACACCGCTAACTAGATCAGGTTGCTCAGAGCCCCATCCAACCTGGCCTTGAATGTTTCCAGGGATGCAGCTTCTTTTCAATCCAATGGGAATATTACATAGTAAACTGTTGCATGTAAAAGCAGTGCCCATAAATTGTGATGTAGTTAAAAAAAAAATCTCAAAAAGCAAATAGAAATGGGCAGCAGAATGGAGTTTTTTCAAGCACATATAGTGGTAGGCTTAATTCATCAACATAATTTACCCGTATTTGGTCTAATGCAGAAATGACATGAAAGCTGAGTACTCTATTATTCTACATGCGGAGGTCCATCTACTCCGTACCCATACTGGATGTCATTTTCACTACAATGATATTTTCCCCATCTGATTAAGCACAATCTTGTTTAAGACCTTCAATTTACTTCTTACTTACACTCCAGACATCTTCCCTGTGTTGGAAGGGGGAGCACCCCTTCCCCCCTCTCTGGTGCTTTACTTCAAACTATTTCTTTAAGGATGACTCTTCTAATTAATTTTAGTGATAAGAATCTTAAACACCAAGAGGTAACACTAAGTACTATTCATTTAATTAATGTGAGAAGAAACCTTTACTGATAATTCTGTTTCTGATGGTACTCACTGTGAGGAGGAAGCAACAGGGATATTTTTAGGTGTTTTGAATACATGACAAGACACAATGCAGATGCAAAAAGCAACAGAGCCAAATTAAATAAACCAGAAAGTTCAGTGCATCTTCAAATCTTAGCATCCTACTCCAAATCTGGTGCAGCAGAGTTCACTTATGACTTACTTGTTGACCGGAAACCTTAGGAATTTTGAACTTCTAGGATGCAATCAATTAAAAAAAAAAAAAAAGCCTAAGCCAAAATTATAGAACTAAATTACAAAGTTAACAGATGAGAGAGACATGTCTGGAAATGGCTTCTATTGATAAAGGATGGCAGCTAATGTGAGCTGTTTGCTTTAGGACAGGATGATTTTTTTTTTTTTTTTTCTGCAGAACTTGAATGCTGGTTTTAGTTTTCTTTTATTTTACATCCAAATTTCTAAAGGACACTGTTGGTGAATGCTGTAATTCCTGATGACGTATTGAGTCTAATTTGTCTGCTTTATCTGATCTTCCATGTATTTATTCCAAACTGATTCTGATTCCTCTGACCTCTCTGCTTTAAAGAATGCATTCTGTGGTGGGAATCTCAAAGTCTTCATCCCTTAAAACTGACAAAGAAGTCATTGAAGTAATTTGCTATGCCCTGTAATCCCCAAATTCCCTCTTTGCACCTCTGTTATCAAGCAGTTGCCCTAAGTCCATATTTGGCTTCACGCTTTTGATTTATTCAAATATTTCTACTATTATATTCATCATATTTTGCAAGGAGGTCATAAAAAATTCTGTGTCATCCCTCCTAATTTCCTGTTTATATCTAATCTGCCATTTTTATGTGCTTTCCTGGTTTTGCCCATTTGAGTAAACTTGATTTCTTAAATACTTTCCCTATGACAGTGTACTTAATTTTCCTACTGATTCATGCGGGGATGTTTCCTTGGTTTGGTTGGGGTTTTTTGGGTTTGGGTTTTTTTGGGTGGTGGTGGCGGTGTTTTTTCATCTGTTTTGGGGTTGGCTTTTGGGGGGAGGGGGTAGGCAAGTGGTGGTTCTAATTGTGGCGTTAATTTTATCTCGATATCTAATGCAATATTTCTAAATATTCTTCTGGGTCCTTGTGAAGGACTCACTTTTTGTGATGCTGCTTCTAGATTTTTTCCTGCTTTCTGTTTTTTGTTTGTTTCTTTGGTAAGGGTTTTTTTCTGCTTTATTGGGTTTGGGGTTGTTTGGCTTTTTTAACTGCTTTTGGTAATTTTCACGTAGTTCCCTTTCTTGAAATTGGTACCTTTTGTTTTGGATTTTGTTTGGCCTGATCTCTCACACAACAATGCTAAATCTGATTGCCTTGTGGTCTACGGAGCTGCTAGAGCTATACTAGAGCTATACAGAGCAGCTCTCTACTAATAATTTTGAAGAGGGCCCCATGCACCACTAAAGATTCGAAGACTGCTTGTTCCAAAAGGCGGTCATTTATCATACTCCAAAATGTGATCTCTACATGTCTTTTTGATAAGGCATTGATGCAGTCTATATGTGGCTTCTCTAATCTCCCATAACATTTCATAATTGGTATTGTCACTTTGACAATATCAGGCAGGCACTTTGATCAGGTGGTCAGCAGTGCAATCCTAGTATTACGTTTTTATTGTTAGACTCTGAAATTTCTTACCCATGGAGATTCCATCACACTTTCCTTTTCCTGTAATAGCTTTGTGCCATTACATTTTGCATTATCCTTTACACACTACCCTTCTGCTATATGCCCTACACTGCCATTCTTACAAAGTTGGTAGCCTGACAATTCTCTGTCCTGCTGATTATGGTCCTTCCACCAGGTTTCTGATATATGCATTATTTTGGCATGCTTCATCAATGACTTGTCTTCAATCCTCCATCTTAATTTTATGTTCCTATCATTGGTGTAGAAGCACGTGAAAGTTTTGCTTAAGCATGTGCCAATAAATGAAAGGTGCTTCCTATTATTTATCCGCTCCAGCCTTTTCTGAGGTACACTGAGTATTAGTTACATATGCCTCAGTGGCATGTCAGTCTGAACCAGGAGCTGTTCCATGCTCGCTGGTTTTCCTTTGCTTTCAGTTCTAAAACCTTTTTAATTTCTGTGCTAGCAGCCAGACTCTGTTACTGTTAAGGTGCAGTCTGTCCCTCCCTGCACGTCCCTCCTGTTCAAGAAGTTTATCCAGTTCCTAATATACCTAAGTCCATTCCTACCTACGCTGTTGTCTTGTCCTTGGAGGCTTGGCATCTCTTAAAAAATGGAAAGTGTTTTTTTTTTTTTTTTTTAATAATATGGGTACAGAATACAATTAAAACAAGAGGAAGACCAAATATTTTCAGCCTTCAGAGCTACCCATGAATCTCAGACTTGGTGGACTGAACAGTGCAGGGGATGGCTGGAACATTGTCCCAATGTTTTAGGCAGCTAAATGTAGATTGTATAATTCCTAAGAAACAAGAAGATGTAAACATGTTACAGACTCCAGAACAGGTATCAGGTGTATTTCAGGCAAACTAATGAATAAGTCCATAACGTGAAAGGTATTATGTATTATAGGCAAAGTGGGACCAAATAACAGCAATTAATGGTAAAGAGGAATGGGAAAAAGAGGTGTGATTGCTGTGCGGCATAATGAATCGTTAGGTCCACTGATGCATGACAGAGCGGTGCAGCTCAAAGCAAGCCCTCAAACTGGAGGGTGTCTTCTCTACAGACTGCATCAAACGTGTACAAAAAGCCAACTGAAAATTTGGTTCTCGTACTTGAATACAGCATCAGAGACAGAGAAAGGATTTTCATTCTCTTTGATCATATCTTCACCTGCAGAGCATATTCATCTTAATGTGAGATCATGTTGATGAAATGGACATGAACGTATTCTGGTATTTGTTTATAATCTTGAAAAATTATCTGTTCTTCCAACTTTCTTTGCAGTGAAGTGATACTCAAAATCTCCAAAATGATGTAATTTTAAGGCATATAGATGTGGTTTAGTGGGGCCCCAGGTATATCCCATAACATTTCTTGTTTGATTGTATAATTATCCCATCTAGTTCATAAGTGACGGCAGTAAACCTTGTAAGTACTTAATCCTCCCATACTTGTAGTTAATGTAGTAATGCCACTTTTTGTATCAAAAATCAGACGAATTTCCAGGAATTATTTTGCTGTTATTTTAGGCAAAATAACATATGTAAGACGAAAAAGGATGCCTCAAGGATAGTTCAAAATGTTGAAGACTAAAATGTAGATTACTTCTCAGGACATTTAGTTGTAATTAATGTTAAATTATTTCTTCTTTTCTTGTCAACAGGAAGATTCAGCTGACTGCGGTGGTGTCTCTGGTCTGAGTCCATCACTGTGGTCTATGGTAGGAATTCAGTTGGTCCTGCTTTGGCTGTTATCTGGCAGCAGACACTGCCAGTTATGACCTTGCTAAACCAAAATCTGCATAACTTAATCAAGACCTGGCCAAAATGATAGCCTCAGTTTCATTTTAAAAAAGGGTCAGCTATTCAGACAGCAGCAGAACAGCAGTGCTCGTGTCTGGTTATCACTTGTTGTGAGACTCGTAAAGGCACCCACGGTGGCTGCATGTTGGAGTGTCGGATCCTTAAACGTGTGTGAATGCTGCATCATCTATGCCACCTGAACAGAATTCTGTACGTGCTCCATTGGGGAATCTAAGATTTTTTGTTTGTTTGTTTGTTTGTTGTTATAATCTTGATGACTTTATGTAAAAGGGCTCCCCTGACAATAGCTTATGTATATGATTTTCATTTCTTTTAAGCTTTGGATATCTTGAAGACTTATATTCTTTTACATGAAGAATTATTTAACAAAAAAAAAAAGAAAGAAAGAAAAAAGAAAATGTACTCCCCAGTATACATTACTAGCACCATGATGGCTGCTTTGAACATCAGTTTTGTCCAAACTAGTTGAGTAAAATGAAAACATTGGTTAGTCTTCATCAGAAGTTCAGCATGATTGAAATGCTTTATGATAAGTGGTTTATTCTTCAAAAATGAATCATGTAGCCAGCTAAGTTTTGGTATGTTGATAAATTGGTAGTTTGAAGGAAGGAAAGAAGGAAGAAAGGGAGGGAGGGAGAGAGGAAGAAAACTTCTGTTTCTAAAAATATAAAGGTGCTTGAGAGTTTCACTAAAAAATGATTCTCATCTTAAACTTGGTGTCATCTTCTGTCAGAAAAATGTTAATTTCAGTGTAATATTCACCTCCTTTTCACAATGCAGTTATATATAAAGCTAGCAGAATCCTTCAAAGGCTCAAACAAAAATGCTTGTGCATAAAAAATGTCTTTGTGATATTTGAACGTTGGTTTCCAAGGGTATTTTGCATGATGATGATGCTATGTTACTGTTTTCCAGTTTGTTTTCTTTGATGGTAGAGTATAGTCCATTGAAAAGGTAACCGAGTGATTCTTTTATTGTGTGAGAAACTGAACATTGCAATGTGTTGCAATCAAATAATATTAAATTATATTATGAAACAGAGCTCTGAATATACTGTGCAATGAAAAAGCTGAGAAAATAGGGTAAATTTAGCTATTGTAACAAAAGGTTTGAGTTGGATTTTTTACAGAATTATGATCTTACATGAAAACCTGTGTACAGATATTTTAAGTATATAAAAATGAGATTTAACACATTTATTTTTGGAACTATATGTTCTCTAAGGTTCATATCAGGTTCCCCCTTTGTTTCCTTCATATAAAAACACCCATAATATTAAAACTTCTGCTGTTGCTATTTATTATTGAAAGTAGCATATTTAACAGCAAAATGTCCTGGTTGCTGAGATTAGAAAAAATCTAAACAAATGGGGAGCCTTGAATCTATATGTATGCACATTGATACTTGATTGTGAATAATAATTTTAGAAGTTGGTTTTATACAACCTCATTGGTGATACAGATTGGTGCAGTAAATTACAATATTACAGTGTAGCATAGTGTTGATGCAAAATATTATTTGCGCTTTTTTCTAGTTTTCAGAACTAAACAGTATTGCAAGACAGCTAAACCAATGAATGTGCAACTCTGCTGGTATTGTACAATTCTGCTAACAACTGCAATATGCAAATATTAACATGGCACAATACACTAGCTCTTTAAAAAAATAAGAAAATGCAAAGCATTGGTATGTATATGCTGGCAATTGATTGATATAATTTTGATCATGCCAAAAGCTTAAAGAAATAATTGGGCATGCATTAATATCCTATGAAAACTGAAGAAGCTACTCAAAGCCATGGCATGGCTTAAAAGATCAGATCTCTACTGTAGGTGTACCCATGGCTGGTTCGTTGATTTTCTCATGTACCTTGGCTCCAGCTATATATTTTCTCATGTTTGGGAATACAGTGAGTGAAAAAAATAAAACCTGACCTTTTGTTCAGTGATCGGATTTAGCTTTTTAAAAAAATATCTCTAGTAAAGTCATGGAGTTAAAAGTACAATTAACTGTGTTGGATGACTTCAGGTCCTCCTCAGGGAAGGTGAGCTAATTTTGATAATATGGGAGCTCTTCCTTCCAGTCACATCACTGCACTTTTCTTCACCCTACCACCAGTTACCACCTGATAAAAAATTGGTTTGAGTCTTTCTAATGCTGAGACTGCATCCAGTATTTTTCCATAACATGTTCAATTGAAATTTTATGGGAGGAACAAGTTTTGTAGGAGTAGGCCAATAGTTCCTACCCTCATAGCTTTTACTCTAAGAAAGATTACTGAAAATACATATTAGTTTGCATTTTGCTCTTTTAATTTCTTGAAAGATTGTCACTATATTAAACAAGTTCTCTATAGTTTTCACTTAGCTTTCCAAAAGAAACCCTTCATGGCAAAGTTGCATTATTTAACATCGTGGAATTATTTGCTTATGCTGGTAGGCCATATTTTGAGTTACTTAATAAAGATTTGATTAGAGTCTGCAGGCAGAAAGAAAGATGGCACAAAGCCATGCTGCTGCAGAAAACAATCACAGCTTTTGCTGTCATCCCACTTCCCTTAGAGTGCTGAAATACAAAAGGATGGAGAAGCCCATGCCATGCAGACACGTTGGCCTTCTTGGGTTATCCAGAGAGGGAAATGTCCTTTCTTCCTCTACTCTGCCCTTCTATATGACCTGAAAAAATGTGCTTCTGTATAAACACAGCCTTCCAGCCACTGTACCTGTCTGATAGAAAACTCAGGATCTGGCCCTCCCAGAAGGGCTTAGTACTGTCCCTGTAGAACTCAATACTTTAAAAAGGAAAAAATGAAATCTTGGCTTCTTTCTGCAGAAAGCAATATATATTTTGATTATATCCAAGTGATGGTCAAGTTTTTTTAAAATGCACTACCAAGATACCTGCAAATTACAAAACACAGATAGAAAATGCAATGTGAACTGTAGCTATCTCAAAATGTGAATACCAGTCTGTTAGAAATAACTCGGATGAATAAACACATATTCTCATGCAGAAAAGTATCCTTACTCTCACATAATGCATAATAGTCATCTTCTCTTGTCTGTGAGAGAAGAAACTTGATCCTAGGCTTTAAATGGAGACATTTTCAAATTACAATATGTTGTAAAAAGTTTTTGGTTGTTTTTTTTTTTTTTTTTTTTTTAAGCCAGATAAAAAGCTCTGTTGATATTTGCTCAGATCCTTTAAATAGCACTAAGGGAACTGTTGGGACTGTTTCAGTTTACACAGAAGTCATGCAGCCTATTGTATGTCTGTCAAATAACCACCATTAAAGTTGTTACAGCGTGGTACTGTGCAAAACATGATCTGAGGACTTAACATGAAAGGTTTCTTTCTAGTTTTTCATTTAAACAACCAGCATTACTGCCAAAACACCAATCGTGGTCCATATTTGTAACAGGTTTTTAACATGACATAGCAGGTTTGATTGTCAAGATTTTTAGGTCCTGTACCTTTAAGACTTTAGTATGATCTTTTTCATGTTTCTAATGCTTGAAGCTTTACTGCTTAACTTGACAAAAAACAGTGTTGCTGCCATTTGTAAGTTTTCCTATAATATTCCTTTTACTAACTTAAAAACTGGCCTTACTGGGTTCAAATAGGCAGTATCCCTTTTAAGTGACCTTTGCAACCCAAGTGTTACTTGCTGTGGTTTTTTGGTGTCACTGAAGAGACATTAAGACCTTTTGTTCCCATTAACACTTAAGCTCAGAAAACGTGCTTAGTATGTCTTAATTTCAAAATACAACCTCAGTCCCGCTGGTCCTAAAAATTCAGCTGCCAGCACGCTGGTTATTAAGAAGTGTATTAATGCCTATGAGGCACTGCAACGCACTCGGGTGGTTTTGGGGTGTCGACTGAAGGTGAAATCTTAATAACTCCTTCCTTAGGATAAATTTTACCCTAGCTTCATCAGACATCCCAGCCTTTAACAAAGGCCAGATTTATTATTTTTTTTCATACCACAATGTTAATATTGTTAATACTCATTGTACACTACTGTAAAAAGATGAAAACAAAGTGTCTGAAAGCAATTCAAGAGTTTTGAAAAGTTAGCCTCACCCTCTTCCCAGCTACTTGCATCTGTCCTGTTTATGGTTTAAAAGAAAAACATCATCTTGAAGAAATAATTTCACTGAGGCTAAAGGGATACTGTCTTGTTCAGATGCCATGAAATTGCGATTGTGATCTGACAAAGCTGTCTTCTCTTCTTGTGTTGTATGGAATGTCTGGATCATGCTTTCTGGGATATTTTTATTGAAATGCTCAGTGTGCGTTTCTGCAAAAAAAGGCTTGATTGCTCTTACAAGGCAAGCAGGTCTTTCTCCCTTTTCTTGTGTTCTCTTGACACTTTTGTGGAACTTGACAAGCCTGAAAAATAATTTTTTGTAAAAATTTGTACAATAATGTTATAAAAAGTTTATAATCCTAGAACTGTTGTGTTAATTCTTGTGCAAAAACAGTATATTCAGAATAAAAGTTTATCATTTAAAATCAACAACTACTTTGATTGTTCATTCTGTATAATAAAAACATGTAAATAAGAGCCTACATAATTTGCTATATAATGCTTCTGAGTTTGCTATATAATTGCATCCAAGTGTCTGAAAGAGAGATTTTTCCAGTGTGGAGGCAGTGACTTAACAGACTTCTTATTGGGGTTCACAGGAGGATGTGCAGCAAACCCTCATTTCTGCTTCATTTGTGGCTGAGAAAATTTCCAAAAAGCTAAAAAAAAAATTGTAACCATTGAAAACTGAGAGTCTGTAAAGGTCTCAGTAACATAATAGTCTGCAGAGCATCTGAAGTAGCCCTGTTGTTCCGAACAATTGCTTTTGGAAGGATTGCCATTTACT